GAAATCATCAGATATATAGGCAAAGATATAAGTAAAAGCATGTTTATCAAAGAACTATCCATGGTAGCACAAATTCTGAAATAACCTAAATGGTCCAACAAAAAAATGAATGGTTAAAAAAAAAATCAAACATCCATCTTAGACCATTATGTAGACATAATAATTATTTCAAATAATATTTAAAGGCAGAAAATGTTCACAATATAATATTGTGAACATGGGGGAAGCATGATATAAAGTTGTATTTGTTGTATGGCCTTATGTGTGTAACATATACACAAACACACAGACGTATACATACGTATACAAGCAGAAAATAAATTGAAAGGATACATATTAAAATAATAACACTATATCACGGTCATGAAATAATAGATATTTTATACCTTTATGTATTTCTAAGTTTTCTAGGATAAATGTATATTACTTCTATAATCAGAAAACAAAAGGGATGATTTTCTTTAAGAATGTCACCACTAGGACAGCTCTTCCTTTTACAGTGGAAATGTGGAATGCATTTTGTTGAGCCACTTGTTTGTTTTATTTGTTAGATACTGATTGAAGAACAAAGTGAGATAGGAAGTTCTCTTACTAAGAAGTTTAAACTGAAGCTGGATAACCATTTACTAAATATGGTTTATCAAAGGAAGAATGCATATCTAAAGTAGAGGATTCACTATGATCCCCATTTTCTAGCATTATGTCTGGCATATAGTAGATGCTCAATAAATATTGGCTTAAAAGTGAATGAATGAATGAATACATGATTTCTAAGGTCTGTTCCAAACTTAAGACTTTGTGATTCCTAAAGCCTCCCCTCACCATCCCAGTCCTCTTAGCTTTCTCCCTTCTCTGGACTGTGGGAGTAATTATACTATGAACCACTAATTTAAGAGGTCATAATTATATACTGTATTGTATTTTGTTTTATCTTTTATTAATTTTTCCCTAATTACATCAGGAGTTTAAATTCTTCCTCCCCAATTAATTCCATCCAATTAACCTTTATTGGGCACTGTGTATTAAATATTAGAACCTGCCCTACAAAATCTTATATTCTAAAAAGAAGAGAAACATTAAAGAGGGATTGAGCACTAAGTGCTCCAACAGAGGTATGCCTAAAATGCTATCGTGAGACTGGGGAACAATTAATTCTGCAAAAAAGGTGAACCAGGAAAGCTGCAGGTAAAGGTAACATTTCATCAGTCTGATAGATAACAGGAGTTTGTCAGGCTCTTAACAGTAATAGATTTAGGGGGAGCTGACGCCATAGCAAAGAGTCAGAGGTACCAGAGTGAGTCTTCCACTTTCTCCTTTAATACATCTCCCCTTTGCGCGAAAGAAAACTACGGTTCTCTGGCATAAAATCAACAGAGCAATGGGAGCCCAGAGGAAAAGGGTAGGGAACTAGAAGCGGGCTGATCAAGCGGGCTGATCCAACAGGCTGCCGGAAAGCGTTGTCTATCTATCTAGCAGCTTGGCCCTGGTGAACTAGTTCGGAAGGTGTGGAACGGAACCAGGTCAGAGCCACCAAGTCGGGGCCTTACCTGCTGCCCCTCCCCCACGCGGAAAACACGCCGCAGCCAACTTGAAATTTGCTGGTCTTCCTCAAGCTGTTGGCGTTCTAGGTCCGCCTCCCAGAGCTCCCCATTGGTGAGTTCTCCCGGCCAATCTTGGAGAAGCCAAGGAGGGAGGTCCGCCCACTTGACGCTGAGGAGGGGAGGGAGGGAGAGAGTTCGCCGGAACTCAGGCTAGAGAAGCCGGGTGAGGAGAGAGATGGAGTTGCAGAATCAACCAGGGGTCAGTCATTTCACACCTCATCTCAGATGGAGGATCCGCCTGGCTAGCGACAGTTCACAGAGGGAACCTGACTCTCACATCTCACCGAGGGACTCTGTTGAGGGAGCTTCCACAGAGAAATGAACCTCTGTGAAACCTGCTTCTTAGGGGTCGTTCTTTTTGTGACTCTTGTCTTCACACTGGGCCTCTCCGTTACTCCAACCTTCCCTTCAATCCTGCACTGCCTCCCTCCAGCACCACCAATGAATATTTCTTTTCTAGAAAAATGTTTTCCTGTGGGTTGCTGCCATGTCTGTGAGAAGATGGAAAGAGGGTTTGGGAAAGGAAGGATTAGGAATCAGATAACCAGAGTTGAGGAGACAGGGAAGGAATCCAGTGTTTCCTGCATTTCCCACTGCCTTCCAGTTCCTCCTAGCCCTTGGTAAAAGGGGGCACGGTGGGAGGAGGAGTCCCACTTTCGCAAAAAACAAACAGAGGGAAAGAGTTCAGAGTAGAGATAGAATCTAGGAGTTAGTCAAGAACAATAACCCAGACGTCAGAGAAAATGGCCCTGGGAGTGAAGCCTCTGGACTGGGAAGGCTGTAGGTGGAGTGGCAAGCACCAAGTCTTTGGAATAGGACAGAAACAGAGCTGTGAGGATTTGGAGAACTTGCTTAACTTTACTAAGTCTCAGTTTCTTCATCTATAACAAGAAAATAATTCCTACTTTATAGTGTTGTTGTGAGGATTGGAGATAATGTATGTAAAGTACTTGGCACATGGTTGGTTTCCAATAAATGGCAGCTAGTAAAAATGGGTAGCTTCCCTGCAAATATTTCTCTCTCCCCCTTCTCCAGGAACATTGTATCTTGTGTCTGGTGGCCTCCAGCCTCTGAATTACCTCAGGTGAGTTTTCCAAATCCTTAGGATTTTTTTCCTCACTCCCCCTCCCACTCCCCCTGATGCCTTCCAGCTGGACACAAACTCATTCCTAAAATATGCAGATGGAAGCTATGGTAACCATGGAGACAGGGCAGATGGTGAGGAGAGGCAGAGACAGACAGTGAGAGAAACCGACTGCTACAGACAGGGAGAAGAAGACTTTAAGGAGCGATTCAAACTGAGACCTTTAAGCGAGATGGAAAAATAATGATTCTAAGACGGAGAGTAAAGAGATGCAGTGAGAGAGGATGTGTTACAAGGTTCACTCTTCTCTGCCCCTTTTCTATCTCTCTCCTTCCCACCCCTCCTAGAATATGGAGAGGAGACAACTGGGAATGCCCCTTGCTGTATCTAAAAATGATCCCAGATATCCAACCTCCTCATACTTATCTAAGAGGTCTGTACAAGGGAGCTGAGGTCCAAGTTTATTTGTGGTACATGTTCCGTTTTGGGGGAGGTGGAATGAAGATGTATCGCTGTGTGACTCCAGCTCCCCCTGACATTTAAACTACGAGAAGGCAGCCACAACTCTTGCCTCGCTCTGCACAGTAAGGACCCCGGCTGTGGATCGCCATCGCCTCTCTCCACCCCTCTGCACAGTGTGCCATGTGCTGTGTGTGGCAGGTCAGATCTGGCGCACAGGCGCGCATCAACACACCAAGCTCGGAGAATGGGGATCTGCTGAAGCTCAACGAAGAACTAGGATGGTCCCAGTCTGGGTCGCGGAGGAGTCTCCTAAGGAACACTTAGGTTTGTTGTGACTGAGGGGAGGTCGGCTAAGCAAGGGAAGTCAGGATTGGAGCCTCTAGCTTTTGAGGGTTTATGTATGCATGAGTGGGGTAACGGTTTGGTGCCCGACGCCCCCACCCTCAGAGACTAGGCTATAAATAGAGAGGCAGAGCTCCGCCCCCC